TGGTTTAACTTTGACCGTTTCATGATTTAAATAAGATTCAACAGGCTTAACAACTCAATACTGAAAACTATTACATGTTCATTAGTGACTGTCTTTAAGAGGTGATTTTCAGTGTTCTAGTTAGCAGCCTTGGGCAGTGAAGTCCAACATTGGTAGATATGAGGCAGTTACCTACTGAACATAATGGAAGACAGTCGCTCAATATCTTGGATTATTGAGGTTATACATGGACACAGTTGGATGCCAACTCAGCCGTCTGCACGTTAAGCGTTCGTTAGAGATCGAAGATCTTGGGTTTGATTCACGAGTGTGTGGTCAATTTTGAGCACTACTCAGAAGTTCCATTTTTGAAGGGAATGAACATCAAGTGCCTCCAGATTTTTAATAGTAGTCTAAATGAGGTCGGTGCATGATTTTCATGCTAACGTATACGTTTTAATGTATCATCTTTTTGTCAGTGCGGAGATTTAAACGTCTAGGTGTTGAAAAATTATTTTGAAGATATGTAAATGTCCTATGTTTCTGAGAGAATAAAAAGTGTTTGGAACAGATGTGAACTGATGTGTGCAATTGTTAATAATAAAACCATCCTGTTATATGTAAATGCTATTCTGTTATGAGTTGACTTATAAAAGACATTGTTCTAATGTTCGTTCACACAGTTATTCATTTTGTGAAAAGTTACTGTTGAATTTTCTTCAATGTTCAGTATATTCAAAAAGTAAATCAATTGTTATAACATATTTATTCTGTTTTGAATTAGTCAAATAATGTGTATTGAGATTACGTTACTTGACAATGTGGTCCATTTAACTGTTGAACTGTTGAATAAGTAGAAAACGTATTTACTCTCAAATTAAGTTAACTGAATCAACTGGCTCAAAGTGTTAATCAACAGTGTATGTTGACTAAATCCAAAATCACTTGTACTTGCTCTTTTTTAAAGTATCTGTATTTCATGATATTTCCGGTTACATTTAACTAGATTTATTGATATTCTAGTTGCAATCATTCAGTTGATTGACAAGATAGAATAGTAATTCAGGCAAAAAGGCATATTTTTCGTCATAAAACTCAATACAAACGTTCTAACGTTTAAGAAAATATAAATTTAGTATATTACTGTGGTAATCAGCTGTAAATTTTTATAGACATGTGATTTAAATGTATTTAGTTCGTTTCATATTTTGAGGTCGCACTTAAACATAAACAACTTATCAATCATTTACTGAGAATATATGTCCATGTATTAATTCACCATATTTTATAAGCCATTGTTTATTGTCAACATCCTTTCCTGCATAACTACTTGAATATTGACCTAGATCATTAGAGAATAATTACACTCTATTCAAATGTTACTGATGTACAATGAAATGTCAGTCATACAATGTAAATCGTACCTTTTAGCTTTGATAACAACAATATGACCAAAAAGTATAAAATCTTAAGAATCATTAAGATATGTTTTAAGCTTCTGGCGGCATAAATGTCTATGAATATTTTTTTAATGATGATTTAATTCTGTTTTCCGAAATTCCGGTAATGTTTGCTCAGTTTTTTTTTAATTGGTCAGTAGTCGTAAATTATTATTTTTATTTAAAACATACTACCATCCTTCATCATTGAAACAAAAACCTAGAGATTCACATAATTACTGTAATGACTATAAGACAAGCCTGTACGGATCAAAAGGTATGCATATATGTGACAATAAAGTGAATTATTTGATTTTTGCTCAATAAAATGACGAATGTGTATCTAGATTTACATATGCTGTCTGCATATGATTGATTGTCTGTATGGTTGTGTGAGTTATTCATTAGATGAACTAAACTTTGACATTTCCATACTTGCCATCAGTAAATTTATTGTTATAACTTATATCTGTGTTATTATTATTGTTACGAATCATTTTCTTATTAAATTATTGCCTACTGTGGGCATTTCTACTTTAGTTTCAATTTGTATATTTTCTTGTAATAATTAAATTAGCGTCACATTCAGGATTAAAATCAAAAAGAAAATTAACAAATAGGGTAATCCATGTTCTTTTTCAAGATGAAAAGAGAACTACTGGCATCTAGCAAACGGGATTGTCAAGGAAGAGTGTAGTGTTTCTGTTTCTGAATATTTTTTAGTAAAAATGGCAACTCTATTCTGCCTAAATCTGTATTTCATTGAAATTTTGAGTTATGAGTCAAGAAGCGGAGTAAAGCCAATTGTTTAACGTTTTGCGTCGAAAAAAAGTGATTTCGCAACGAAATTAGCTACAATCATTGAACTCAACAGAGTAACATGATAGGCTATGAAAGATATAAGTCTTCAACATTAAACACGTACATTCAAGAACAGTCAAACCTATTTACTTTATAATTATTTGTAAATACACAACATGAATGAGATATTAGCAGCATGAAACTACATTTCAATTTCAATATTTTGAATCCTAGTGAATTTGAATGACGGCTTTATAAATTCTTATCAATAAGCATAAACATTGTATTAAATATTGTACGAGGTAGGATGTACGTAGACATCAAGTGCTTAAATATGATACAACGAGAGTTGAAAACATAAACAGGTACAAATATCACGATAAGTTAATTGTATTTTATCGATTTTTATATCTTACTTTTATTTGCAAAGAAAGTTTGTAGCTTTGAGTAACAGTATATTATCTACACGTAATATTGGAATGCATAATGCTAAAGGTTCTATATTTTACAAAATGAGTTAAGAAGTACGTCATCAACATCAAAATTTAAAAAAAAACAAAGCTGTCTGAATAATCTTAAAAGTCGGTAATGAATGTATGTTTATAGTTATTATCTATATACATTAAGTGTTTTATAACGTACCATTGGGTAATAGGATTTTCTTGAGGATGAAATTTATTAAATACTTTAAAACGGATTAAAGTCGTTAATTAATGTTGTTTGACCATGATGAATGTCTTAGTATGATTTCATGTTGGCTAGAAAAAAATTTTCTTTCTTAGTAGATTTCGAGTTACTGTATACGTGTTTGTAAGAGGTTAGTGGGGTGGAGTAGCCTGCTAAAATAATGTTATTAAATATATAATAAGAACATTCCCAACTACTTATACTGTTGAAATGACTCTATGAAATGATGTTTGCTATCAAGCATATCAATAAGCTATCATATTTAGGTACATCTTTCATCGTAATTGTTTGTTTACTAGGCCTTGAGATTTTTTCAGCGAGTTTCAAAATGTTGAATTTCCTTTACCATGAATATCTGAGAATATTAATGGATTGTTAACATTACTGTTTGATCTTTATTCCTACTTTGCCGTCGATTACCGATTACCACTTTCATTTGCAAATATACTGAACATGTACATTTGAAACAATTCAAAAATTAAATTACATTCGAATCATCAAATATAACTACGGAATTATGAATATTAAAATTCTATTACTTTTTTAAAAAAACTCTAATTCCTTGTTACCTATGTAGCGTAAAAGTTCCAATTTTATGGTTGATTGCGATAAAATTATTTCAATCCCCACAGTCATTTAAAAAAATAAAAAGATTGTGTTGTCACCAAATTGTTTATTATCATGTTATTGGAGTTCTACTTTCTAGATAAATTTAATAGCCATTTACATAAGCGTAAATATTTGACTGAGAAACTAAAAACTGATAGAACTTTGATATGACTCATTTTTCTATTTAATCTTCATTTGAAATGTAGTGAATTAATTATAATATGTTATTCATAACTCAAGAAAATATATGATGATGGCTATTGTATTTAGTGTTACAAAAGGCAGTTCAGCAAACTGTTCGAAGAATTACTCTGTAATCCAACATAAAGATATAAACTATTATGCTTATCTACTTTTTATGGTATTCCTAAATGTGAAATTAAATTTTAGTTACAAGCAAGCTGTCTTAATACTTTACATTTCTAACATGCCTCAATATTGATTTTAGTTACATTGAATGTTATATCATCATCACCCATGTTGCTATTAAATGATATTGATTTAAGATTTACCATTTAAACAAAATTAAAATTCACTGTTACAGGGAAGTTTTACATATAATCAAAATCAAGTTCATTTTTCAACTAATCCTATTTCAATCAGTAATTATCCATGTGGATCAAACTTTAATTAGCTACTTTTCAAGAGAATATGGAGAGTTAGTTTTAAAACTGTAAAAATTAGTAATTATTGATCCATACGATCATTGTGTTTCTATATGCCATTTTATTGTTTACTTTATTAGGTATACCTTGATATTTTGAAAACTGATTAATTCTAGCGATAAAACAAAAATTGTATTGATGAACCATTCAATATTTGTATCAGAAGGGGTTTTGTGGATATTATCGTAATTTCAATAGTTGAGATCGTGAGTCATTTGAAGTTAGACATCAACACCATTGGATGCTGGCTCAGCTGTCTCGCGCGCGAGACTGATAGGTTCTGGGTTCGAATCTATCGAGGTGGCATTATGTATGCGGACTGCTGAGGAGTCCCACAATAGAACGAAACGACCGTCCAGTGCCTCCAGGTTTTCCATGGTGGTCTAGCTTCAAGTGACTCATAATTTCAACTGCTGACATTCAATATTTGAAAATAAAATACAAAATCCACTTATATATTTGATTTTTATTTGCTAAACATGAAGAATAAATTCAGTAACACAAATGAGGCAACATTCGAATATTTCAAGAGTGAAATCCATGATATTATTTTATTGAAATAGTATTATATATATATATATATATATGTATATATATATATGCAAATAAACTCACAGACAGGTTTTCTAAAAGGCAAAATCGTCAACATAATAATCGAAAGGATACAAATTTTTCACAACCAAACAGAAATAAACCGATTAACCAATCATATTTGAGACAATTCTGTTTCCATATTTCCTCATTCCTGGTCATATGAATGAATAACATCGATATTTATCTAGTTATATATATAATAAGCAGATGTATACAGTAAACATTATTTTATTATTAAGCACATGAAACTGTTTTCTCTTAATGAAAGTGGATTATCAATTAATTTATCTAATATAGAACTAAGACTCGTAAACAGCAAACTGTTGTCATAATATGTAGTGATGTATTATGTTATTATTTTTCATCAAAATTCAAGTAAGTGAAATTGTTTCTCATATTTGAGTTTTATTACTGATTATATTGAAATATTTAGTTCTATCATTCAATTGGAAAGCCAAAATATCAACACACAAATAATGTATCCTAATCATTTTTACTGGATGTCAAAACCGTTGTATCTCGTGCATTATATCTAATTGATGTAATGTTTGATAGATTAATTTTGTTAAGGTTTTTATTCAATAACAACACAAATCTCATATTTTTTTCAATTATCTTATCCATCACCGTCACGGTTTTACTCTTGTGATTCACTGTATGAGTTTAGGTGAATAGCTTACTTGAATATCTGAGCTACGTGTTCCTGCCACCTGGGTATTTCAAGAAATTATATGTTTTCTTGTTTGTTTTAACACATCATTTTGCCTATTAGTCGCATAATCTATTTAAGTGCATTTGTGAAAAGTTTACGACATTTTGCTGTACAAGTTAAAAAAGAACCTAATCAGAGAAATCGTGATTATTGGTAATATACATCGAAAAGAATATACATTAATCAGATGTCTATTCCTTAAGTAACCACTCAATATTTATCGTAAGGGTCGATCAAGAAATAAGAAAAGGAAAATTGTTGATATATTTCGAGCTGAGAATTCTATATTGTACCAAAATTATAATATTGAATAGAGCTTATTATTATTATTTATTTGAATGAGATGTCTAATTGCTTGAATCATGATTCTAATTCAGTCAGTAGTGAAAATAACTGAATATATAAAAATGTTACGAAAAAATCACCTACAAATAAGATTTTTAATCCCTTTTTCCATAGTTCACCACTATCTAGTTCACTTCATATTATATTAATATGCTTCAACACAAACTTGACAACTTTTTATATGATTAGAAATAGACCATGGAAAGTAGACTGAAATTATAGTCTATCAATATTTCATTTTAATTTTCTTTAGCAGATTAATTAAATATTTTCTTTCCCAAAAACATAAATATGATTAGAATATCGAAAGTAATTACTGTATAAGTTACATATATTGTTGATAAGGGAATGAATTCTTTCGACCAACAGGAGTGTGAAACAAATATATATTTTTTCAATTCCTTTTTGTTTTGTTTTTTCTCACTAAGGAATATAAACAATTTGAGATTAATATTTTAATATTGATTATGCATAAAATATTTATGTTCTGAAAAATATTTTTTACAATTCATGGTACACAAAAAATGTTTCTCTGAGGTTTTTTGTGGCTTGTGGATCTGACTCCAATTAAATCGTAATGAATGATTTTTATTGGAATATATATGTTGCCTATCCTCGTATATAATCATCGACTTAAATCGCGTTAGTCAATAACGGAATTAAATAAGTCAAATAACGAGAATGGACTTGTGAATACATATATTTTGTATATAAAGCGAATAGGATAGAGATAAGAGAAACGACGCAGAGTGGAGATGGCTGGTAAGCCAACTCCAATTTAACCAAGCGTTAATCAATAGTTATAGTTACACAAAAGTAAGTTACAGACATGCGATGAGTAATGGGATAAGAAACGTACACACACCTACGCGCTCATATAAAAACAGTCAAGATTGATAAGCAAATAAATAACAAGGTCAGAATGTGACTCGAGTAGAATGAATAAAATGGGATGTCCGAAAGCTAGAATAAGGTATATAGGCTTAACATAATAACCGACACTAAAGGTTTTTAAATTTCATTATATTTAATAATATAAAGATAAGTTATGGGGTTATTAGTTGAAGCATTTTACTTTAAATCATTGATCAAACTCTACTCCTCTTAATTTAGTCACTTGATTTGTATATGGATTGTGATACTGCCATGGTGCCCAGATCGCAGCAGGTAGTTTTCTTAGGGAATCACTCTCCGAGCCTTTGATCTAAAGGTCTAATCTACAAGGTAGTGGAGCAAGATATTAAGATGAAGTCCCATGGTAGCTGATGATCAATAATTGTTTCATACGCCATTTGTTGCTTCAGGATCTTGGAGTTCATGTAAACCACTGGTTTTGAATCAGGATTTTCCAACTCCACTTGGTGAGTCCTCCATATCCATCAGGCCGGTTAAAGAGCCGGATATTCGCTTTCCATCTTTTCAATTTCGTAAACAACATTTCCGCTGCGGGAAGTCAGTGAGTGGGACTTCATTGGCAATCGTTGTATGCACGTGGCCATGTGAGAGCATCTCGAGAGGGAGAGCGGACCTTCACCACTCTCGGCTGTACAAAAGTATTTGGGGGCTTAAAGCTAAACATGTTGATTTTTAAGTAGGTTCGACTTTTAAAAATAGCAAATAGAATATACTTCGCTGAAATATAAGGGATATTATGCTTTTATTGAATTACTTTCACAACAATATCTTTATCAGATAACTTCAATTGTTTGTCGTGCTTGAAGTGAGTAACTTTTCCAACACTTAAAACGGCGTGTTAAGCTTTCTTCTTATTAATTTACCCATTTATTCTACTTACTAATGTTTAACAATATTCACTTTTGGAGTTTGACTAAATTGTTTTCAGGTTGAAGGAATTATTGAGTTATGTAGGCTATAAGCACTTGGCATTCTTTTGTAGTGTGAAGTGTTATATTTTCGGTTTATTTAGAGAAGTACACAAACTGTCTTTATTACTTCCTTACTAAAAAATCGGAAACATTTTATTATGATAATTGTTCCTGTTTGTCAGGGATACTATCAACATTTGACTTTCGTTAACTATTACTCTGAATTAATTCAATTGTTATTATTTACTTTAATCTTCCCAGTGATGTTTATGATCATAATTTATCAGTCTCTTACTGGCATATGTGCATACCAAACGTAATACCTCGATATTGCCTTAATTTTAAAGCATTATAAGCAAAGATGGTTAGTGACTAGCAGTGGAATCCAGGACGCGCATTTCGTCCTATTTAGGACTCATCAGCTGGACTAATTTAAAGATAATGTACCGTGAATATACTATTAATAAACATTTGTAAGCTAAGGATGTTAGAATGCGCTCATGAGTTGAGAAAACTTATTTCCTCTGTGTTAATCTCTCATGATGTTTGCATTTCATACTTATCCGGTAGTGATACTAACATAAAAAACATGAATAATCAAACAGCTTTGCACAAATTCACTATCTTGTATATTTATGTTATATTTCTTATTATTAAAATGTAAAAGAAAATATAAGAAATAATTTAAATAATAATAGATAATAATTCACTCGGTATTGTTTGTCTTGTATCTCCCCATTGAGGTTTAAGACTGCAATTGATCAGTCTGTTATTGGCATATGTCCATACTGTGCATATGCCTCGATATTACATTAATTCACAAGCTTTTTGTAAACAATGATGGATAGTGGCTAGATAATAATTATAAATATATATATTTAGCTCTTGAAACTGGATTAGACTCCTAATGAAACAATGTTTATTTTTAAAATACTCACATACTAATCGACAGTATGATATCAAAAGTGACTCATTCAAAGCCATGTTGATTTTAAATTCATTTCATTATCAGGCTTTGATCGAATCCATTTCATAAATAGGTAAATAAATAAAACTTCTTGCAAAAAACAGTATATTGAAATCATAATAACTAAATGATATGGGCAAAAATGTGATAGTAACATTTAAACTATTGACATTCGGAACCCTTAAACATTCATAACATACTAAGCATAACCAATGAAAACTAAGGAGGTGAAAAGAACATGTTTCATCGACTTATGTATACATGTAGTTCTAAAAATAAAGCATTATGTTCCCAATTATCATATAGTATGGATAATATTCTGAATTTTTTTCTTTGATTTATTGGGAAAATATTACAACAAAAAGATATATGTTTCTATTTTGTAAAGACAGTTTCCACATTTGAAAATAAAATAATAAATTCTATTTATTAGGGTTTTTCAAACATGTGTTCATGATTCCAGTAGGACTGATTTGTTTGTGTGTAACTGTTTATTATCTAAGTTAATTATAATTCCATTCATAGATGACTTAGTTTTATTTATCATCACCTACAATTTTTTTGAATGTTTGATTTTATAATTTTCCATGACGAGTTCGCTCAAGTTAGACAACCGTTGAAAATCAAAAAGTACTGGACGACTGTTGTGTCCTGCACGTTCTAAATGTACATAAAAGCCCAACTTTCAAGTTGTTTGCACCATCATCTCTACCATACAACAGAATCATGTAGTTTCCTTAGATTATTAACTAAGAACCCAGAATACAAATAAGAATGCTTGGTAGACTGACTATATATTTTTATTTTGACACTGATAGTATGGTGTGTGCTATTGATGTCAACAGATATAAATAGTATGTGTCATCAATCAAAAGTGAAATCCTTGATTGCAGATGATTAAGAAGATCGAAGAAAATAGAACGAGAACAGAGGGTCATTGGTATGGAAATGAAGGAACGATAAAGTTTGAAGCGATTGATATGCATTTTACAAATGAAGTATTTCTTGTATGGTTCACAGATTTTTACTGAGATATTCTGTAATTTTGTGTTGAAACACATTCGATTGTCCCCACTTGTTATCTCGTTTACTACAATATGACAATTACCTAAATAGTATATCAAAATATGCTAACAAAAGTTGTGCGTAAATTACTCATTAGTCATTAGTTTGGCAACAATTAAAATAAAATGAAAGAAAATAATCATAGTTCCCGTAATTGTTTGATGTACAATTTTCATTGAAGCGTTTATGGATTGACATTATTCTACCATGTCAGAAAGGTGATTAACAAATTCCATACAGTAATGAGATAGTTATTGTCGGTGATAACTAGAAATAAGTACTTTTTTCATTATCCTATGTAAAATGATTTACAATGTGAGAAAAAACATAAAAAAAGTTCATTATCCTTCATATTGTTGTATGCATCATATAAACTACTTTTCATTATTTAATATCCAACATGCTTTATCAGATCATTGCTATGAATTAGTTTTGATTTTCTTCAAGGAACCAATCCATGAATATTTGATAACTATCTAAGAACATACGGCGTTGGGAATATTGATAAGTTTGTCGAACCTGGTGTTAACTCACTAAATTGTGTCATTTAAATGTTACTGTAGAGTACTATATCGTACACCATTTAAAAAATAGTGAATTCGACGTTAATATAAACGACATTTTAATGCACTATTGAATCCATTTGAGTGAAGTTCGTAGCTATTGATAAGGCAATAATAAATAGCGTAGTTGCAATCACCTAAATAACTTTGTGAATGTAATTTATTTATTTCATAGTTTTTAGTCGGTTCAGTCTGACAGTATTCAATAGATTTATTTGATTTATATAGCGATTTTTGCCAAATTAATAATAAATCAAATAGAGTATTTATCAATTAACTATCGATTGTTGATATATTGTTTTTCTCTATCGAAATATGATAATCAAACACTTTAAAACTAGGATCTTAAATGAATCATTTTTGATTAACAACTTCTACCTAATAAGTGTATGAGCTCTTCTAATGAATCTTTCAAGTCAATATGCCACATAGTTGATGATGACTACATCAAAATATGCATACAAGATCATTATATCAAGTTCTACTGCATCATAGCCTACCTTAAAAATATTTAAAAGGGTAACCGGAAATTCATAGTTTGATTATTTAACCTTTCAACACTCGTATTATATGTCTTTATTCAGTGTGCAATATAATATATGAAAAACGTCTAGCTCGGAATAAATAATCTTTTTACAAGCGTCACCTAGTTAAGAAACTGTTTTATTTTAAATTTGTGCATTATGATGATCACTGTGACTGGATCTTTCGCTTCAGAATTACGAAATTACGGAGCATTTTTAACAAACTGCTCTTCGAGTTTGGTCAGGTACATTTGAACTTTTTCTTATATACAGTTATAGTAGAGGAAGTGTATTTCCCTCCATAATAAAAACGTCAATATGAATATAGTTCAATATGTTTATAACTGCTGTTTCATATATATTGAACAACAATTTATTATGATGTAATGTATTCATATCAAGAAGTTTAATGATATTATCTATACTTATAATGTAATAAACAAATATCATTACAATATATTAAAGATAATTACAGTTAAAAAATAATCTCCCTACTCAAAACTACTCAATACATGCTCAATAAATGAATTAAACTAATGTATATTTAGAACAACATATATAAGTGAACAATATTGTTTTCGATTAGATCCTCATCAGTAATATTTATATGCATATACGAAATTATTAAACCGATCAAGGTAGTTTATAAGTCAATGATAACAACGAAAATGATTACATAATAGGCAAAAAGTACAAATTGATGGTGTGATTGTAGGTGCACTAGTTTTGATAAGAATAATAAAGGCTCAAATCAATATATATATATATATATATATATATATATATATATATATATATATATATATATAAAGAGAGAGAACATATTTATGACATATAATAAGAATATACTTATAACATAATAATTTTAATAAATCTCATTCACACACCTCAACACACTACTCTTTATCCTCTTTACTTTACCTGAAAGTGAGTATAGCAATAATAATTATGTTTTTAGGGAAATGAATTCATATCACGCATATCATTATTTCAGTTTCAACAATTGGCCTATAGAACACACAAGAACAATTAAACAAACAAAATATGCAAATCTTAATTACTTTTAATCATAATGTGAAAAAGTGAAAAAAAATTAAAGCTAATATTCTTACTATTCAACCGGAAATAAGGGTAACAGCATATTCTGTTTAGCTGTTAACTATTTCTATGTATATTTTCTTGATTCACATAAAAAGATATGATCTTATTTATACAAATGTTTGTTTTTTGATCACATTTATATAATATTTATTAACATATAGTTGGTGTCAAGAAAATGGGACTATATAGTGAGAGTACAGTCAAGTATAATTTCTAAAATCTATTTGATACTACTGTTTCTTGCAAATTAAATTTTCAAAAAAATTCTTATCTAGACTAATTGTTAGTTAAGAAAAATCATATAACACATCAGGTAATTTAGGTGGTTGATAGGATAATCTGAACTCAGGTTACTTGCTATTTAGTAATTCTCAGCAAAGTGTAACTGTGAGCATCAGGTAACTGATACTGCTTAGATGGTTGAATGCTGTGTCACTCATCAACTTAGCCTAGAATATTGCGTTTGATTATTTGGGCCTTTATTTATCTGTATAAGTTATTGTACACAATTTTATGTTACGTAAACTACCAGAAAAATTGCAGCTTGATCAATAAAATCTGTTCAATACCACGAAGTTCAGTCAGACGTCATTGGTGACTACTCAGTAATCAGTCAATGATAAACACCAAAGTTATTATTTGTTGTTTAATTTTAGATCAAAAGCGGTAAAATAATTAAATATAATGGACTAGTATCATAAGGCTATTGAATAGTCTTTATGACTTGAAAACAGCATAAGAATATATTTTTGTATATTTTAGTTTTTGTTACGTACTAAGCTATTGTGGACGGTATTAATAGAAGAATAGTGTGGTGTTATTTTAAACAGCTTCTTCTTCAATATGAAGCCAATATTCGGAATTTTAATCTTAATGTGACCTGTTGTTGTCTAGATTTAAAAGCTCACAAAACAATAAAATTCTTGATAGGTGTATACCAAAATTTTGAATTCATTCATGGATTTACTAAATAAATATAAACACAACTCAATTACAGTCTTTTTGTCAATCAAACGAATGTATTATAGTAGTTCCTTATAAAATTCATCGTTTCTCATACATAAAGTTTATTAGGTATTCACTTGATGCATAGTAAACAATAGATTAGATTGTGGAATAATAATACAAAAGTTTAACTCGATCACTTCCACGTCACGGTAACAATATAAAACGACAAATATTCTCAAACAGCCATAGAAACATCATAAAAACTATTTAATCATTTCAAAGTAGATTCTACTTTATGGTTAATATTCGTTAAAAATATTTAAAAAAAACACGGTTTTAATTAAATCACTAAATTTTACATATAACTTGTTTACGAAACATTATTGGTTCATACAACAACTATTTCATGTTTAATACTTAGTTATTAATTCATAAGTATCGATTACTTTGGAACTGCATAATCTTATCTTCATGTTATATGTTTATGAGATGAGTAGCTTGTTTGTGATACATCAGTAGTGTTAACATTTAACATTACTAATATTATTTAATTTTTTACAAACCATTTTCAATCGATTTCCAGCGTTTGTAAGAATTTTATAAATAGTCTGCTTGTTGTTTTTAATGATGTCGGGAAATAATATTCATTCAAATGACACTTATTTTCAGGTTCTTTAACAGTTTGCACTTAGTGTCATCTCTAGCTAGAAATTAAATAAATCGTATTACACACCTTGTTACTCAGATAAATAGCCATTCAAATTTACAGAGTCTATATTAAGGCTTAAATATACTTTACAAAAAGGTGAAAATTATTTTTATTATGTTCAGTCTTTTTGTACATTCGTTTTCTTAACAGATAGTATATTTAGAAAGTCAAAATATTTGTATTAAATTGAGGGATAATACAAGTTATCAGTATAGGGTTGTGGATTTTAGATTGATATCAAGAATGGATCAGTGTTAGACCACTACTGAAAACCCTAAAGCAGTGGAGGACTGTTTTGTACAAGCATGGGACTTCATAGCAGTGTTCACTCGTGACCCCGCACGTGGGACTCGAATCCAGGACATTGGGCCTAACGTGCGGACGCCTAACCTTTAGACCACCCACCGACATCTAACGGTGTTAATGTCTAAATTTATTTGGTTCGTGATCTTGCGTAAACGTTTGATGCAGGCACAATGGTCTAGAGTTTAAGCGTTTGCACGCTAGACCGAAGGTCATGGGTCCGAGTCCCGCATGTGAAATCGTCGATGCGCACTTCTGAGGAGTCCCGTGCTAAGACGAAGGGGACTTCCAATGCTTCCAGGTTTTAAATGATGATCTAGCTTAGAGTGATGGGTGAATGCAACTTTGAAAATACTACAATCTTCACATGTCCCATACTGATATTTATTTTGTTTACAAGAACGAATAAGTTGCTTGCAACATTTATACTTGCATGAAATTCCCGAACACGATTTTATTAGCTACGAATTGTTGTGTGTAATTCCAGTCCGAAAATATGCATATAACATGCAGCACGAAAGGATTGATTTATTGAAATGTTTAGTATCATTCAGAAAGTGATACAGTTAAAAATACATCTATATGAAGAAGAGGTAGATTCATTTAAAAATGTATTGTATGGAATAAAGTGTAGCTTCTTCAGCCAAAATAAGCAAAAAACGATTTTATACATTGCTATCAACGAAATTACATGTACTATTATAGTGAACGAGAACTCAGATGGGGAAAACAAATTTATTGTTTAATGCAAGGTCACAAAGTGCTTTCATAAAATGTGAAAACCGTATTTTACTTGTTGTTCACGTCATTACAATTGCTTATTACTTCACTTCCCGTTCTTCTCAGTCTTCTGACAAACTTTCCACTTTCAATTCAATGCATACTACTTATATCTGTGAACATGTATAAAATACAGCACACTATAAATAGTAACCATAAAATAATGGGTATTTAAATTTAGAGATTTAACTTGGATTTTTCATAGTTTGTAATGTTTTTCTCCATAAAGTATTTTGGAAACGTTATTCAATTTTATAGTTCAATTCATGGGTCAATTGAAGCTGGACCACCATGGAAAGCCTGGAATCACTGAACAGCATGAGATTCTTCAGCAGTGAGCATCCCGGATCCCGCCTTGTGGGATTTGAACCCAGAAGCTATCGGTCTTGCGCTTAATTTCTTGGTTATTATTATTGTTCCATATCCTTTTATTCACAATCAAAAATTCCTAATGTATTGACATTTAAACTTATAAATTTTAAAGTTATCTTTATCTTTTATTTTTCTTTTCTGAAGAATTACAAATTGAATTCAATTATAAATCGTTTAAGAGAAACTCTCTAGGCATCTTTTGAATTTCAAGTTCCAATTAACTAGAAGAATTGATAACCAGAAAAACATGTGCAATTTATTCAATTCATACTTATATTTTATCAGTTTAATTCACTTACCATATTATTTAACACAAACTGATTGGGATATTCGAGCCAATGTTATTTTTCCTTCACTGTCTTCATCATCTTCGACAACTCCAATAACTGTAGTTTCACAAAAATCTACAAAATATAATGTAGGTAATGAAATGAAAAATGCAGTAACTGAAAGTAGTAGAACAAGCATACTACAACCTGTTGATGAAGTTATTGAAAAACAAGAAATTAGAATAGATTGTTTGGAAGCATTGCACAATTGTGAATCCATTAGTGGAATATGTAAAGTGGATGTAGATATTTTCAAAACATTTTGTGGAGATTGGACTGATGGTAAGTAGTGTATAAAGTTAACTTTTCATTTATATTTTTTTCCAATATATCTATATTTATCGGCAATAAACGACTTGGTTATTGACTGCTAACATTAGAGTTGAATAAAACTACATGTATATTGACTATGAAGGGTTTTAGGTTTATTGTACTAAAAAGGATCATCTGAAGCACTTTTATTCATTTTGAAATAAAACTGGTCTTATTAAAAAGTTACGTTTAATAGTTTGATGCGCGTAAGACTATAATCAGTAGTTTATCACTTAACTCATTACTATTGAATAGTAAAATGGAAAAAAAACGTTTTGAATCTTTTAATATTAAATTAGATTTCGAATAAGTCATTCTAACTGGTCATAAACATCTAACCAATACAAACGTAATCATCATAAAGTATTCCTAATATCTTTTAAAATAAAGTAATACATGTCATAAACTTATAACAGAATTGAGAAAATAGTATTAACTGATTACACAACGGATGAATATATAGAACTTTCGATACAAAGTTAATAGGAAAATACTAGTCATCACTCATTTTTGTAGTATCTTAAATTATATGGTCATCTATACGTTAGACAGTTGGATGATTAATTATGATAAACCGATAAATGCTGATAAGTCATGAAAATTTTGTAAAATGCCGGTATTTTACTATTGCTGTGATACGGTTTTGTAATCAGTGCTATCTAGTACAGATTTATTTTTTCACTGGTAAGTTAATAGATGTAATCAGGTCAGCAAATGACGTCATTCTGATTACTGCATTATTCTTCAGTAGACGTCTATAAGTACTTTATCCGCTTGTAGTACAACTGTGATCTCATTATTTCTTCAACGATAAAAGTGGATTCATTGTTGGTATTATAAAAATAAGATGCTTTGTCAGAATTTTGAAAAAAAAAATACATGAAACAATTTATTTTTTGATGTGGTTTGATCTTATTTTGATAAGTGGAAAGAATATAGATCCATGTTACCTTATGGTACACCATTAACATTAAATAAACGAAATCTTCCGTCTTTTTAAATCGTTATGATTAGAATGTAAGATGAGAAAAGTGAACTATACAAATCGAAAGTTTCTTTTTCATAAACAGTACCATGTACAACTTTTTGCATAGCAATTCTTAAAATATTATGAAACAGCATGAATCATTAGTGTTTTCTATTTAATCCTCAAAAATGTATCATATTTTAGCCGGTTTCTCATACTCGTCATCAAATGCCCTAAATGTTGTCCACGTAATAATAATACATGAAAACGAAAGGTATCAGTTTAACAGAAGTGATATCTAAGTTGTATCATGCTAAGATTAAAATCTAAATTTATCTCACTAAATGGGAGAAATCTTTCGTAAATTAATTTATTTGGACTAAAAGTCACCATTCATTTTAAGTTAAAATCTTAGTCCATAACATTTCAATTATTCTTTTTAGAGCGCAGTTTAATGGGATGTCAGCGTAAATATTTACGAGAATGTCAATCAGCTCTTAGAACTATGAATCTCGGACGTCCAGGATTAAAGCATTGTATATGTGATAGTCGGTCTAGCCGTTCGATTGATGACTTAACCAAATGTAATCTACTTAGAAAAAATTTAAACAATCATCCATGTTTGGCTGAACCACCAATATTTCTTCGTGAATTACATACATCTGGAAATTTTCGCCATGAGTCTAGAAAGGAAAGTAAGTACTTATTCATTGTATATTAACTAAAAACTTTTTATACAAGCGTATTACAAATACATTTACCATATGGTTCTTATATTTCTTCGGGTGGGGGGTAAACAAAATAAACCGCTTATAATGTGATACATCGTTACCTTTAATTCATAATGAGTTTTCAATTTGAATTCGTTTCTTGGTTTTCGTTTTGTGTAGTAAGAATGATTTTTATAAAATAACCTCATTTAGTATCTTAATTAAATTCAAGAGTATACTTGACAATATGATTGTTATTTTCACACCAGATTGGATCAGTAAAATTCCAATCAGCTATTGAATGAAGTGACGTAATACATTTTTTGTATAATCATTTCTCATATTCTGAAAATATTTTCACAACCGGACACCATTAGACTATGTTCCATTTAATAATTAAATGTTATTTAAGGAGGTAATAAATACTTGAAGGATAAAACAGACAACTTACTTACACCTGTTACTTCTAGTGGAGCATAGGCAGCCGACTAGCATTCTCCAACACACTCTGTCCTGAGCCTTCTTTTCTAGTTCCATACAATTCTTGTTCATTTTTCTCATGTCTATTTCCATTTTCAGACGTAATGTGTCCTTTGATCTTCCTCTTTTTCTTTGGCCTTGAGGATCCCACGTGAAGGCTTGTCTTGTGACGCCCTGGGGTCCCTCCGGAGGCTTTTGCCGGTCCTAAGCCTGGATAAAAGAGGAGGGTTGGGCGTGGTATAGCGACCCCATCCCGTAGAAAACTAACTTTCTAAAAAAACGCTAACCAGAAAAAATTATTTGAACCTTTACAGACAACAAAGTATTTGAATTAGCTGATAACTCATGAACATTTTTTTCTACACTTTTTAACATAGAACATTAAACTCTTAACGTGGTATATATATTGACGAAAAAACGTCTTATAAGCAATGATTAGACAACTTCTACGTTATACTTTAATGCTAAGTTGCGCTTGAAATAATTTAAAACGGAGTAAAAACTGACAATTGTTGAATTATATGACAACAAGTTTTATATTATTCGATGAATTCTCTATTTGGTTGTCAGTATTATAAATTGACGAAGGAATTTAACAAATTCGATTTTTTCATCGATTCATAATAGTTATCGTAGTACCTAATGTATAAGTATATAAACTGTTCAGTCGTAATAAATACAAGTATAATTGGTTGGTTGTAGACTCTATGAATAGCCAATTAATGGTAGTTGTATGTAGATGTCGCTAGGCAACATTTTGTCAGAGTATTTTAATCGATTTCTACAAGTAATAGCAATTCAGCGTATAAATGATTTTTGAGTAATTTTAATTTTCCATACATTACTCAATTTTAAGCTTTTACTAACAAATAATAGGATGATGGGAACATTTAGTTTTGAAATTCTTGAAAACTTAAACTGTTTTGCAAATTAAACTAATGGTTAGATGTGACGTAACTTATCATTAGTATTTACACACAGGTATTTATTTATAGACTGAAAAGTATGAGCATTATACATTCTCTCGAATAATTCATTTCATCTTATCATTGATTCACAAATTCTTTTGATTGTTTCAATAGATTTCATATATCCACAAAATATATACAACATTTTTAAAGTAAAACTTGATAAATATCTATCTGAAAACAATGTTATTCACTGATATGGTTTTAAAGATGGGAATTTCGAATACTTATTTATAAATCTAAACATATTTCATTGTCTGAATTGATTTATTATAATTACCACTTAAATATTTATTGACCTTTCATCTATTGTCCGTTTAATGATCCCCAGCATAATAATCTTAAGGTCAAACTGTTACAACCTTGAGTATGGTGTTCAAATATTTTTCCCTAAAACTACTCTGGGTTTGAAGACAAAATGAAAATACCATAATGACACTCACTTCCTTTTAACGTATGCCATGAGAATGTCTAACTCTTAACAGGTTTCTGATTGAGATCATGAACCGATTGATGTTAGACCACCTATGAAACCTGGAAACACTAGACGGTCGTTTTCTCCTATTGTAGGACACCTCGGCATTGTGCACCCACGATCTCGCTCACGGGATTCGAGCCCAGGGCCTTCAGTCTCGCGCACGAACGCTTAACCACTAGATCACTGAGACGATATCAAATGGTGTTAATATCTAACTTCAACTAACCCATGAAATTGCGCGACCATCTTTCATTGTACTGAGGTAGATACCTGTCTCTACCCGACATGGATTAGCTCCACTGGTCACGGCTTCTCACTAGAACTCCGAGAATTCCCTCACAAAGCCAGTTACTAGTGAGCACATGTTAATTAGCAGTATAGGGGTTGTGGAGATTATTTTTTATTGAGATCATGAACCGAGTGATGTTAGACCACCGTTGGAAACCTGGAATCACTAGACGGCAATTCGTACTATCGTGGGATTCATCAGCAGTGCGCATCCACGATCCCGCTCGCGGGATTAAAGGTTGTTAAGTTATTCTGTTTAGGTGAAGGCAAATCAGTTTGGAATGTGAATAGATGAACACATAAGTTTGTAAATGAATGCGATGTTGAGGTTAAGGACCAACTAGTAGATCTAAAGGTTCTACGTCCTATATAGTGTGTGACGGCAGGCGGTCATTGTGTTCAGAAAAGTACAGTTTTCCAATTATAAACGTCATGCTAAACCGATATATTCTTCCTAAATCCTCCGATTCCTAATATTATTATTTTTTGTTATTATTTTAATTATGTTGTGCGATCATAACACAGTTAGAGCCTTCAAGTCATTTGACGAGTGCCTAAACTTCAGACCAGTGAGCCTACATAAGATGTTTTTTTATGTTTATCTTCAACTCCTAGACAGCGTTGGGGATGTATAAGATTGTAGTGACATATATTACAACGAGATAGTTCCCCAGTGCATCTCGGCTTTTAGTGTTGATATGACACAGGTTTACTCATGAAAACAGAAACTTTTATTGATCTCCGCAAAACCTTCTATTTTGATATTCATTATCTGCCTTCCAAAGACTAGTTTCGAGAGATGACTGGTATGGTTCAGTCATGTATGATAAGAATCATTTAAACACCATAGACAATGCAGCAATGTCGTGAATTTCCTGAAGTTCAAATGGAACAATTTCGTAAATGGCTGACGTGCACCGAATGAATAAAAATGACTTCAAGATATTACGTGTCATTTATTGTTTCTTTACTCAGATTCATGAAGGGAACTAAACATAAAATTGCTACTTAGATGATTTTCCAGCAAAACCATTGTGCTGACTCACAATATTTTTTAATACACGCTGAAAATTCTTTCCCATAAAAAACATCAAATATTAAGTGCTATGATAACTACATGTGTTTCATCAAATGGGTTGCAAATACACTATATGTCCTATCAGTTTCAATATGATATGAATGTCTCTTGAACGATATTTAGTAATAAAACATCATTTTTATGTAATTGAACATAAATTTCGAAATTCTCACAAACTTGCTAAATGTTTAACTGATTTTGATTACCTTACAGTAAAACCAGAAAGTAAACCTACTCAATCAACAAGTAATATGAATACAAATGTGAAACGTCTCAATACAACATCACTATTGGTCGAACCCTTTGTATCGTCTATACCAATGACTACAGAATCTCCTATCACTATGAATACGCTGTCTAGTGTAGAATCATCTAACAGTGAATTAGTTGATCAGCATTTGAACAAAAATAAACAAAATACAAGTTGTTTGGATTTACTTGAAAATTGCACTAAATTGCCGGCATGTGCCATCGCACTTAATAAATTCCGTGCATTATGTACTGTTAGAACTTGTAATAAGTTGAAGTGAGTTTATTTAAAGTTAATTATGCATGGATTTCTTTTGTATTGTTTCACTTTAGTAGTGGACCATCCAGACACCATTTTGTTTTGTAGAACTTCATCTTACAACCTCAAATCTCTTTCAATTAAATAAAGAATTACGAAGGAAATAATATTAATACAAAAGTGTCCCACAACGATGAAGATTAAAATAATCACGAAAAAATGAATTTGTATAAAAAAAGTATAAGGTCCATAAGTGTCGATTTTCATCTGACCAGAATCAATCTTTACCTCTTCGCAAAAATGGTATTTGTTGAAATTGTTGGAAAAGGCCATTGATTCTATTGAGATTTCGTTTACTGATGGCTAATAATCAAATGCAAGATGTAGATTTCATTCTATTCAAAGAACAGATTTCACTGAACCTATATCAGCACTGCCTGTTCGCTCACCAAATCTTCATTTGCGATTAGCGAATGTAGATGTCTTTCTTTTTGAAGTCGATTGTGGCCCAAAAATATTTAGTGTGAACATTGACGACACGAATCATTGATCTATAAATTACAGTCACATCTTCCTAGTGAACATGAGCCAGAATGAAACCTAGATTAATAGGTTTAAACATATTGATTCCAAATATCTAACGTCAAATAAACTGTAAATCAGTTTTGCATAGTTGCATGATCCTTAGGCACTACCCAGTGTTTTTATAACTTGTGAATATTTGTCAAATACTGAAACTATTTTAATGTAATACAATTGGTTCACAACCAAAATTCAAACAAAACAAGAATGACAATATTCGAAGAATACGATTAATTCAATGTGTTTCAGTTTTTCTTCTTAGATGCACAGTTGTTTGCTCATTGATGCAAACAAAATTAGGTAACTATTCATCATATGTTACCTCCAATAGCATATATCAATTCACAGGTACGTGCGAAAACGTGCAAATCAGGAGAAAAAAATAAATGGACTTATACTCGCCTTTATTGATCATATCACAAAATCCTTAAGGCTTCGAGAAGAAAGCTGCCTAAAGAGTTCATTAGCATATCACCTACTAGACATGAAGTACAACGACCATTTAATGAATTCATTTAAAGTCATCAGTAAACAGTTCACATTTCTATTAACGAAATTCGCATAAACAATTAAAAAGCTTACACATGACCTTCTTTCGTGAAAAAAAGACAGTAATTAATCTTCAACTGCCTTGATAACATTCTAACCACTTTTTTTTCAACTAATTGGAAGCATAATTTAATGAATTGACCTTTCATGTTCATTTTTCCTTTCTAGACTTCTAGAATGAAAAAAAAAATTTATAATAAAATTATTTTAACATTCTAAACCTTATTACCTTAGACAATTACAAAATAAATTCCCTACTGAAAACTTCCCATTTTAATTTCTTTCACATTAATTTAATCGTTGAGTTCATGTGCCAATTAAAACGAGACCATCATGGAAAACTTGGTAGCAGAGAACGATCATTTCACATTACACATAATTTATTCATTATTTATTATAAATTTAATTTAGCAAATAATTTACAAATATAAGCTGGTATGTAATTGATGAGAAGGCAATGAAATACAATCCATTTATCATATTTCATTAAAAATATTGTCATTCTTGTTTTGTTTACATTTCTAACTATCAATTTTAATTTGGCAATTATTTTTTATAAGTAAAAATAACAAGAAAGTTGAGAGTTTACAAAATATCAACCTAATGATAATCAATTTAACTTCTAATGTAACTTTTTTTTTTCAATTTTTACATATGACTAAATACATCTAGATCACAATGTTTAGAAGCATCAAAGAAATTTCTTCAACTTAAAACACATATGAATTGTGACTGTAAAAGTGAATTAAACGAAGGCAGGTATCGTAGATGTTTAGATTATAAAGAGGCTGTAATTGATAATAAATGTGTTGGTAAGTTCTCTACATTATGTTGCTCTTATGATATTTATTTGTTTGTTGAATAGTTTCTAAAATTTATGAATTGTTGACTTGAAAAAAGAAAACCAAATAGCGAAAATAATAGATCTGAGCTACATACTTTCGTATGCACTTTAGTATACCTCTTTTACATTTGCTTTGAGTTGAGACGTGCCTTGTGATATATTTATGGTAATTTCCATTAGATGTGACCTGTCCATACTCAATGTTTTTCTCTATTTTCCACTTCTGCTGGAATGTGATTCATTAGGATATCGTTTACAGTATACGACCAATAGATCTAGAGTATTTTGTGTAGACAAGTGTTTGTAACTACTGTTATATCCTTAGCTATACAATTATCGCGAAATACGATTGCCAATTTAGATACGCTGACTTATACGACAGCCCAGAGTTCCGACTGGTTTTTTTCCTCCTAACCCTGCTTGTTAAGTCCAGAACGTCAATCTCAATTCCCGCGACACAAATCATGTATTTTAAACATACTTGGTTTATATGCGGGCAAAATCAGATTACATCACATCATAAACTAGAAAGTAGCATTTGTACAAGATCAAGCCAAAAGTGGCTGTGATTATTGGAAACTGTGACTAATGAATTGAGTATAACTCGAGAATAGTAAATCATATAACAGTAACCAATAAATCAAATAAAAGTCTATAATAAGAGGAATACAAATATATATAGTTTATTAACAGTTATACAATAAGAATATATTAGTCCATAAATAGATCTCAGAAATTACCTGTAATTTAATCTTTGCTGGGATATAACAAGTACCTGTACATTTCTGGTAATGGTTGCAGTAGTTGTCCACGTTTCAGCTAAGTACAGCAGAACTGTATTGACGCTTGTATTGAAACTTCTGACATTGGTGTTAGCTGACAGTTATTTCAAGCTTCAAATGTACTCCAATCGCAGAAATGCCACCATTACTTTGCAAATCTTTGTATTTACATCTGCATCAGATCTTCCTAGGTGCTTATAAGTTTTTACGGTTTCCAGAGCTCCCCCGTCAAGTGTTATTCGGCTGGTGTTCTTTGCACTGTAATTTTGATCATACTTTCTTCTGTGTGTATGTTGAGGCCAACTGTTGTAGAGGCTGCCGTCACAATGGCTGTCTCCATCTGCACATGTTGCTGAGTATAGTACGTAACAGTCAAGTAGTTTACGTAGTCTAAATCGTCCAGGTGCGTCTATTGTATTCCTCCATTCCCCTCAAATCCTCTCTTAATCCAGTCAGCAACCAGAAATAGGAGGAAAGAACAAGTATAGGCAGCCTTGTATGACACTGGTCTTCACTTGGAATGCATCTGTGAGCTGCCCTCCATGTACGACTTTGAATTTTATTTCATCAAAGGAGTTACCTAAGATGATGACGATCATATCAAATACAACATAGTGCCAAAGAAGATGCATTCAGTCAAATGCTTTCTCAATATCAAGGAAGTTGATGTATGGTGACGAGTCCCATTGAAATGATTTTTTGACAAAAATCCGTCGTGTAGAACTTTAGTCAACACATGATTGATCCTTACGAAAGACAGATGTTGATTTCGAATTTGGGCATCCACTGAACCGTTTGACAACAGTGTTGAGAACATGGCTGCTACTGATAGTAATGTGATGCTTCACACATGCTAAGATCTCCTATTTTCGATATTTTGATGAGATATCCCATTTCCTAGTCTGTCGGTTCATATTCTTCCTTCCAAAGATTCCTGTAGTAATCCTAGAACATTTCTATAAAATCTTAAATACCTTATTCTATTTGCCAATAAAAGAAAGGTTTTTTAAATTGGCAAGTTGTTAAAATATTTACTACTGAATGTGTAAGTGTGATCAAGTGTAAAAATGATCTATACTCAGTACTCACGGGTATTTAGAGTAAAACTCAATTCAAAACACTGTAACATTCGCCTTCAGTAAAGTTGTCCCGTAGATTCTTCAGCTTTTCAGGAATCATCATAAAATTTACCAATAACTAATAAACTTTCATTTCAATGGTTTTCCATGAGTTCTACATTCTATTTGCATGATGTTCCAGTCATTTTAGTTACCACTTTTATTTTTTATCTTCCCTCTACAGAAATTTCATCAAACCAAGAAATAAACCTGGTTAATGGAAACGAATTGGAATATTCTTTCGTAAATATGAATATGGAAAAAAATTTAGCAACTATTCCAGTTTCACCAGACTATCATACAGCTGTTCAAAATAATTCAACAAGTTTAGAAAATGAAACATTATCAGTATTACACCATTCACAATTTATCAGTTCTAATATTAGTGGTCAAAGATCAAACGAATTAACTGATATAGAAACAATTGTTTTTGAAACATGGAGTAAGTACTGATATCTTTCGATAGCATCTTCTGTGCAAATGCAAGTAATTAGACTGAATAAACAGTTTATCAGACATCCCATTTCAACTGAATTAGTCAAGGATCTAAATGAGTTTACACAATAATCTTGTGATAAAAACTTATTCATTAGAGCGAGTATTTATGTGATGGATAGCTCTAAAGCTGACTTCGTGAACTACATTCTCCTTTGGTTCTTCAAGAAAAGTTATTAATAATGCAAAAAGAAATTTTTCACTATATGTGAATCTTGTTACTAAATATAATATAGGTTGGTAGAGAATTACTAGTCAGAATACTTGAAGGCATTTTCTGTCACTAGCTGACACCGTAAAATACTACTGAAAAACAGAAAGCTCTTCCATCTTAACTTGGATCCCTTGAACATTTTATACTAGCCACCCTGATCTTAGGTCATTCTGAACTAACTTTGGAGCCCATAGTCTTTGACCACCGGCCCGAATTCAGTGAATAGTGTTGTATGTGTTAGCTAATCTGTGATAAAGTATAAATCGGTATCAAAGTAAAAGAAACCGAATCTTCAGTGTAGCTTAATGCCCAGTCATGACAAAAGTTATCCTCAAATAAGAAATCTCCACTTAAAACACGAGTTATGAACAAGATGAATCAATTTAATGTATGTTTCACGTTTTTATTGTTTACATTAAGGACTGATCTTAGTTCAACAACCATTACAAACTGAGAAGCACTAGACAGATGTTTCATGCTAGTAAATTAATTCACCTAAACTGTAATCTTGCTTTGATGAACTTTTAATGTCATTGGTTGAATGAAATAGAATGAATACACAAATAAAAAATTTTGGTAACTGTTAAGGGTAAATTTAGCCAAGGATTTGTCATTTGACAGACTTCAGTATTATGATTTAAATTAAACCTAACGTTGTGTTAATAATACAATTTCCTTAACGCTATAAAAATCTTGACCGTTAAATGAAGCAGGAGTAATCGAACATAACAAAATTAAAATAAGGAGAAATGAAGAGAGATGACAGAAGACTATAGAGGACTTTAAAAACGGTGCAAAAATAAATGCGATTTAAGTGACAAATTATATGTGGTTAGTTACAAAACTATATCCTAATTTCGTCTCTATAGAAATACAGTGAATTTATTAATATGATGAAGTGAATAGTCTCAATCATATATTAGGTCAATAGATAAAAATTCACTTAGTCAACAATTCTTATCCCTAAGGATTCGTTTCTGGCTTTTAACTGAATTGTTGCTTTCAGTTGATGGTGAGTTGCCACCCATATATATATATATATATATAACACAAGGACATGTCCTATTGTTGATATATTCAAGGACACCAAAGATTAATTCTAACGTTTTCCAGAGTAAACAATGTCATTACTGACAGAAAAATCGAATCGAATGTTTTAGAATTGATATCAGATTCTAGCTAGTTAATTAAAAATGACTTTCATCGTAAAACTTAATTTAAAGAAAGTTTTGCCTTCATTATTATCATTATTAGTTGTTACATTAGTTTAAGAGGAAATAAAACATTTAAAACAAGCATATAATATATGCAATTTTAAACATTCCAATTACAAAATGCATTGGCTTGAAATTAGAATGGAGTGAACTCAATATTTTCATAATGATGGATGAGAATATCATCAAGTACAAAACACTGTGTTCTTAAATCCTTCGAAAATTATTTCATTGTTAACATCAGTCCTATAAGTCTAGTAGTTAATGTGCTAAACATGATTTAAAGTAATTGTTTATAACTTGGAAATTAAGTTAAAAAAGAATGATTTTTATAGAAATGTCGAAAAGTGATTAAACTGTCAAGTTGTTTACTTCTATGTTCTCTATTTTGAACTTGACAAATAGAATGAAATCCGTTTTCAAATAAGTGATTCATATTATCAAACATCACATTTAGAAATTTCGATAGAACAATGAGAAAACGAAGTCGATCTAAAAAAAGTGATGTATTTGCGCTGTACATCTCGAACAATCTGATCACACATATACTTGTCAAGTCATTTTGTATGATAATTAATAAAGGTCAATTGTAGATGAAAGGGAGAGAAAATAAACATTGTATAGAAAGACGATTGGTCGATGACATCCGATCTGCACTAAGAAGGACTTGACACATATGACATTGATCACCACCCAGTGATCAATCAATTGTGATTAGAATTTCTAAACGTTTCAAAAGCTTTATTAATGTTAATTCTGTGCCCCGTTTAAACTACTCGCTTTATTATCGATGAGGTTTATATATGCCAAAGTCACAGCGTGGGAAGTAGAAAACCATGCTCATCGATAACAAACCACATAGTTTAAACAGGGCACAGAATTGACATCAAAACAGCTTTTAAAGCGTAAAGAAATTGTCGAGGACGAGTTTGTAGGTTTATAGAAGCCTTGATCAATCGTAAATTCAAACCCGCCATATGGATACAGAAACAATTTGTCATAAGATTGAATTTGTCTCAATAATTCTTATGTCATTTTATGGCCTAGAGTAAAGTGACAATTTATTATTGTTCCTTCCATCCGATGTTAATTTTCTCTCCCTTTCATCTACAATTATCACTTCCTTTACTTGAACTTTCATTTAATTGACCTTTATCAATTTTCAAATAAAATGACTTGAAAAGTATATGTGTGACCAGATCGCTTGACATGTATATTGCAAATACATCACATTGTTCAGATCAAATCCATCTTCATATTGTTCTGTCGAAATCATATTCTGATTGTAAAATATTTTCTGGTAATTTAAGGCTCATTTACTTCATAATGATTTCTACAAGTGAAATAAACACTGATATTTTTCAATCTTACTGCTTTTTATTCAAATTAGATAATAAAATAGAATGTTATTCAATATTTTATGAATGTCTTCGTGAACCTGTTTGTCTTCAGCATTTTGTAAATCTTCGTTATGGATGCGCACAGATGAATAGGCAGTTTATTGCCTGTAGAAATCCAAATCAGTGTATAAACTCACTAGAACTTTTTTACAAGGAAACAAATTCTCTGGTAAATAAAGCCATATCATGCACTTGTGCAGTAAATGATTTGGATTGTCAGCAGATTCAAAATGTATTTGTACCCAGATGTATTCGTCAGTCATATGGATTGAGGATGGATTGCTATCAAGCATGGGTTAAGTGTCAGAATGATCCAGTTTGTAGGTATGCAATATAAATAAATGTCATTGAAATTCTTCAAGATAAATATCATTTCTGATTTGTAGAATTCCTTAATTTCAGTGATATGTTTTGTAATGATCATACGAATAGATGACTACAAACATGATTATTGGCTTCTACGATTGATGGTAACTGAGGAGTGACCAATTGCAAGTCTATCTATCCTGTTAATACTTGGTGCACGAGGAAACGATTCACTCAAAATTTCTAGTACGTCTTGCGAATGGGTAACAACTAGCTGAGAACCATGGCTTACTGTCAACTACATGGAATAGTCTAATATCTTATTAGCCATCATTGTCAAAAATGTAATAAAATTGTTTCTGAATATAATCTAATTAGGTGAATAAAATCTTCAGATAGATCTGCGTATTGAATATTACAAACATAGACTTTCTATTTGAAAACTATCATTATACTGATAAATTGGATAATTCTGTCCAGTTTACTTGTTACAAAATGTGATGTGCAGAATATAATTTTCATACCATCAATATACTGCCTACTTTATTTTAATATGGTCAGAAAACTGAACCATTAGGTACATACGTATAATTTATAATCTGAATGATCCACTTAGTAGGTTGAAGAAACTATGTTTATGTTCTATCAAATAGTGTTAGAAAATCTAATGGGGTAGTAACCTTTGATTTGTGAATGGTACCAAAGTAGAACTTACTATTTCACAGTTTATCGTGTCTCAGCTCCCATAACTATGGCACTCGAAATATTACTTATGTGTATTTGGTCAATAGATAAATTCGTGAAACATTCGGGAAGTTTTTGAATTTAATTCAAAAGAAATCATTTCGGTTCACATTAATCAATGGAATAAATCCAGTAAAATAATAAAGAGGCTGCCTTTAACGGATAAACGGCATGCATACACAGTCTTTCATGACACACTTTGTTTCATCAAACTTGCAAAATGTCTGTGTTTTGCATCAGTACAGAACTGAAACAAAAAATTTAACTAAAATGTTTGTTCTGAGAATTCCACACCCTTAACATCAAGCAGTCATGTGTTATTTGTATTCTCAATTTACATTTCAAAATGATGTATTTCAGCGCTAAACTCAGAAGGTAATTGTACGGTGTAACTACGCCAACTTTACGAAACACATATCACAAGAAACCGAGTTTAATTGTGTTATGAATTTTTAATAACATGCTTTTTCCGATGTTCCCTGCCAAAAAATTGCAAACTATCGAAATATATTATTGTTTCATTACATAAACAATAATTGGTACCAGATCATGACACAAAACTGAACGATAATGTATTGGATTGGTTTATAAACTACTACAGCTACTGCATGACATATATATTTCACATAGAATACGATTTTGCTAACTAAATGGTAAATTACGTACAAAACGGCCTGAAATGATCATCACATGTGAATAAAAAAAATTAGATGAAACACATGTATGCTTGATTTATGGAGAAGTATATGTAGCAAAAAAATGTGAGGATTATACAATGGCAAAGCAAAGTGCTTTATATACAAGATTTTTGTCTTAAATTTGACGGATTTATAAGTTGTGTAATCAACAGCTCTAATAAAATATTTTTATCATGATAATTGAAATGGTTAGCATTAAGAATGTTGACATTTTTGAAATCTTTCAGGACAAGTTATGATCTACTAGTTTCAGAATGTCATACTTCAAATGGACTTTGTTACTTAAATCCATCTGCCTGTTTAAACTCTTACCGAAGATTATGGAGTGGTCCATGGGCTGGTGGTTGCAGTTGTGAAGTAACACGACCAAAGTTAAATCCATCAAATAATGTACTAACAGGATGCAGTGAATTCGGTAGAATTTTAACACAACCTCCTTGCGTTGGTAAGTATTCAGTAATGAATGGAGTACTAATACCTAGGGTTTTGTAAAATTCCATTTTTTCTTCCCATAGTTAAAATAATAAAAACTCAATCAGACAAAAAATAACTCAGTCGCCTAGAATCGTGTTCATTTCAGCAGTGTTTTGAAATTATGTGCTCAGTCAGTAAATATTTAAGAATTATTCGATTTAAGATAAAACACCTGATCTAATAACCTATTTATACAGTAATAATGTAATCCTTAAAAAACCCACTCGACAATTACCAACACTACTAGGAATACTAAGAATAATTAGTAAGGATGACAGAATTGAAGTAAAACGTAAGTCCATAAAACATTAGTTTTAACGTTACATTCACCTGTCTGATTTTCTATTGGTTAAATGAGGTTAACTCAGGATGAAAGAAGTTTTGTTGGCTGGGAATTTATTCGAACAGCTTCATACAGTATACTAAAATAATATGTACCGATTCGAAATTGTACAGTAATTTAAGACCATTCATAAACCAGACGTATTGAGAAACATATAACATTTTATTCTATATGACAACTTGTCTCGAATAATTTTTCAATTGTATTTTATTCATTGTTTCAACAACACAAATCGTTTCTATATCTAACAGTGTGAACCATGTAAAAGACAGAAGTTTACACTATACTTATGTGAAACGGATTTATACCAAGTTATGTTTAGCTATGAACCGGTGATGAACAAATAATTATTGAAAAATAGTTAACGAAGGATTCGATTTTCACTCTTTGTTATATTTGTGTGCATTCACGAGTGCTAATAAGCCCATGTATCCAAGTACATTAAACTATGGACGGACAACAGTTATTTCTCAGTCTGTATGGTCAGTTAAAAGTGATTTCGAAGAATTGTTTAGTAAATCAATTCTCTTAACAACAAATCTCTATTTAACCTTCCAATAATATTGCAAAATTGTCATTATGATTTTCAGAAATCACTCCCGAAACACATCAATTAGAAAGCCCAACTTTAACTCACAATCCATGTAAGTCAGCTTTTGATATTCAGTATATCATCATTCATTTTCATTATACATAATGTTTTTAGCCTTTTCAAAGCATTTTGTCACTGTAGAAGAAATTAGCCTGACAAGAAGTAAAACGGAACATTTTCCAATAATAAAGGATTAATGCAAAGAATATGGGATTTTATTTGACATCTTAACAGATATTCACCAAAAGAAACGTTTTTACAGTGATAACTGTAATTTATCAACAATTGTTCAGTCTTACTATGAAACATGATTCTCCAACCTATGAGATTATCTTGGCTCTTTTACTAAAATGTAAAAGATTTATTACTGGTATAAAGTTGGATAGTATAGTAAAATTACCCATTATCTGTTGTTTGTTAAATTGCATACTAGATGTTGTAGGAATGACAGACTTATAAATTCTTTTGACAAAACTGTCTTTCATAATTATTCTTGTTCTCTTTGCGAATTTACTGATTATTAACAAAGAATATATTTATAAAAATAAGTTTACTAAATCCTACTTATCGGTATACGTATTAGATTAAATTTCCAAAATTAGAGGATCATTAAATATTTGAAGCCATGAGTCAATCGAAGCTAAACCACCATGGAAAACCTGGACTCCATCATCTGCTCACTGGTGACTGACTTCAAAATGCATTTCCTGGAGTTCTAATGAGAAGCCGTCGTCAGTGGAGTTCAACCAAGTCTGTTGTAGAGATATCAACTCACTGAAGAAAATGGTGTACGGTGACGCGATGTCGTGGATTAGTTGAAGTTAAACATTAACACTGTTGGATGCCGGCTCAATGATCTAGTTGTTAAGAGCTTGCGCGCAAGACTTATAGGTCCTGGGCTCAAATTTCGTGAGGTGCGGGATCGTCGATGTGCACTGCTGAGGAGCCCCATACTGGGATGAAACGGCTTCCAGGTTTTCCACGTCGGTCTACCTTCAATTGATTCATGATCTCAACTATTGAAATTTCTAATATCTCCACAAAACCCCTTCTGATTGGTAAATAGACAGATTTTTCAAGTGGTCTTTATCATGATCATGTTTATTTTGAAAAAAATACTATTGATTAAAAGTTGATTGTCATGCCATAGAGTCGTACACAGTTGTTAAGTGTGAGGCATCTGGAAAACTGTATCCTACGTTATACAATGTCGCTATTTGTGGACAATACATCCGTTATTTTTTGGAAAGAGAATTCTTGAAATCATTAGGTTTGAATTATATCTAGTACATTACATAAAATATTCTTCAGGGAATGGACAAGTTTATCAACTCATACAAGTAGGAACCATGGAGAAAGTAATACTTTTCAAATGTTTTTTTTTGTTTTCCAAGTAAAGATTGTTTATTTATCTCTCAAGAGTGACTAGCGTTTTTCAGTTCATGGGTCATCTAAAGTTTCCAAGTATAGTTGTTTTACTTAGGTCGTTTTCTTATTTTGACTAAATTCAACCTTTACAATTCTATAATGGTAGCTGGTTATTAACTAAAAATACGATATGTTAATTTTTTAAAGCAGTGATGGATGATGGCTAGCAGTGAAATTTAGGACCCTCGTTTTGTCGTATTCAGGAATCATTAGTTGAATCTACCTGTGCTTTTAGACGTTCTACTATGACTTTCTATAACATATGTGTTTAACTATTCAACCCGAGCTTTCGGATAAAAGCGTTTGAATGATATTTTTAAAAGATTATTGAGGGCTAATAACCAATTATTAGTCGGTAAAATTGTAAAAAGTCTGTGTATCATTAGTTTAGTGGGGTATTATGTTGAATAAATATTTCTTTCAAAAGTAGGAATAATATGATATGAACAATACTGTTTTAACGATTATTCTGCAGTCTATACTAAATATATCAGCTCGTGAAAGAAAATGTCTTCGAATTCTACTAATTCTACTAATCCCTTAAAGTCCTGATGCAAAGTGGAAACTAATGAAATTTGACACTATGTGACAGTGGATAATTGTTTCACTTTAACTCATGTTGACTGGAATTAGAAATTTACTCTCATTGGCTCAAACTCATTTGTCCAAAACTAACATTTCTACTAAAATGATCTTAATATCTTCAGCTCGATCCTTGATTTATTCGTAGGTGAGCATTAGTGAGGAATTCCTACGTACAGTCTTATCTTCAGTGCTTTACAAATGGTATAATTTCATGATGATAACTACATGTTTGTAAACAAAAATTCATTTTTAATAAACAGCTTTTATCTGGCCGTCCATTGTCTCAATTTTCGTATATTCAGAAACGTTGAAAAGTAAAATTTTAAGCTTTTAAATTGACAATGAATATGGTATTTCACTGTAATAAAATAATATTAAATTGTTCTAGTAAACAGCGATTTTAAAGCTGAAATGGAATCATGTTGTAAGACAGTTAATATTGACATGATTGTATTAATAATCTTCGAAAATGACAAAAACGGTTAACTGAAAAAAAGCTTTACTGTATTCTTAGTTACTAATAGCAAGATGAGTTCGCCGTTTCAGGTAGTCAATACAGTATTTTTTACTATATTGCAATTTTTCTTCCATCATGACTGGCTAGCATATAATTGACACGCCCGTTTCATGATGAAGTGGTATTTCCGTCGTAAAATAGTTTATGTTTCTCATGTGAACCAGCAAAAACGGTGGTTAACAAAACACGACCTCCATAAAGGGTCGCGATAATGTAAATAATAATTTCCGCTTCATTTTGGTCAGTCGCTAGGTTCAAACGTAGAACTGTGAATGAGATTTGAGGTTATCCTCAACCCTACTAAAACTATTTCGGTCTATGCTAAGATTCGTATCTATCACGTAATAATTACTGAGAGAACCATTGGATAATATTCAATATATTCATCTAGATAAGGCTAAAAAAAGCTTAAATTAATATATTTTCAAGGACAAAATAGTCTTTGTGTTCAATTCGGGGCCATTTGCATCAAGCGATACAGTCCGACTTTACCTCTGTTTAATGATTCCAATACAATCTGTTAGCTGAAGTTTCCGAAATTCATTACTTTCTATTTTCTACCTGACTGATTACTTTGAGCTCATTCATAAACTATTTTTCAAGCGGTTTTTACGGTTCATGAAAGAAGCCCCTTTAACACATTTGACTAACTATAATATTTTACTGAACAGTTTAGGAACTTTTTTAGACTAAATTTATGTAAACCATTAGAATGTGGATGTGAGTTTTATAACAACTATTTTTGGAAATTACCCCTCTATTTATAACTCTAAGCATGTAGTTTCAGGTTTGATCGCATCTTAACATGTTACTTAACGGTACGTTAAATGACAAATATATTTTTGAATGTGTAATAAAATGTTTATCCTTTGAGGGTAACTTGTGCGTTACAAAAGATTGGATTAGTTCATTTAGAACTTACATCATATTATTACAAACCTTATAAGCAAAGATGGATGGTGGCTAGTAGTGGAATCCAGGACGCACGTTTCATCCAGTTTAGGACTCGTCAGCTCAATGTATTTGCATCTCAGAGTTGATGTTCGCACTGGGACTTAAACCCAATACCGTCTAATTATGTTTTTTTTCTCTGAATTAGTCGATTTAACTATGTGAACTGTATATCACACTTATTAATAAAAAATCAAATCCTACAATCACTGGAAAACTTCGGTGGACTAGTTAAGTATTTGAACTAGCTTAACAGTATTACAAAACAAAATAAACCAAAATGGAGAAGGATTTTCGGTTTTCACAATTATACTAATTTCAAATAAATCTTTATCTTGTTTTTCTTTCTCAGTATATTGTAAAATGATGAAAAAACTACAAATGCCTTCTGAAGATTTTGTCAGAATTCCATCTTTGCGTGATTATCAAGAAGAAGGGCAGCTTGCACGAAATTGTTCTTTACTATGCAATTGTCACGTTGGTTGTCGATATGAAATGTGTTATGAAACAGAGATGAAAACTTGGCATGCTTATTCTTTATCTAATCGTACTAGTCAAAATGTTACTTTACCAACACGAATACAGACAATCAATATTTATCAAGCAAATTTATCATTAGGTTGTCTTTATCTACCAAAATTTAATCGTCACTGTGTATGTTATGCATATGATCATGTTGTCTGTGATGTATTCATTCCGAAAAACCAATATTTTTTAACAGGTTTGTGACCTTAAATTACCTCACTTTATCGTTAGTATGTTTTTATAAATAGAAATGTGATCGATTAAAAAGTTCGATAATTTAATTGCAAAACTCTCATAATGAATTAGATGGCACCAGGACACAATTTATCTAAATAGGTATTCCAACCAGACACCGTTATTGTTTATGTACTAAGTAAAAGAGACTGAAAATTCTTCTGTTTAATACCCATCTGTTATTTTTGCTCAACTTCAAAGTAACCGATTTCCCAGTCGAATTTAATTAGTTGAATGAGTAAATACTGACAGGAATCGGTGAATAGAAATATCTAGATAACGAATCGTTCATTATGAACAAATGAGCTATTAGCAATAATTCATAAATATTTACAATCCCATCTCATAATCAGATTCGAACCAGATACGTCTGTTTTACTAAATGTATTCGGCTGACTAATTTTTGAGTTTTTGTAATATAAAGTGAGCTGACTGTAATGATTCGTAGGTGAAAAACTCACAAAAGCATGTAGATTGTATGACAACATCATGTTGTATAACAACAAATCGAATAGGTCATTTGCGATGCTTGAATCATAATGTGATTGAGTTTTTCACTCAGTGAAAAAAGAAAACAACTATATATAGATGAAGATAATGGAACTTTTATTACCAAACAATTTTAGTTTCTTACCATATCGTTTATGATAAATTAATGATACTCTCACACAAATAATTCTAAGCAAATATGCGTTATATTACTTTTATTCTCTATTTAGATTTAACAATCTTTCATGTTGATAACGGTGGTTATTATTTTCAATAAATTATGATGTGAAGTTAAATATTTATTTTTTTCGCTGGACATTTAGAGTAATATACTTTTCCATGGTTTAAAGTAAGTTACTAAAGCTTCATTTGTAAATCTGACTAACAACAACTTCATTGAAGTGGTCCGTGGTTCACATATCCGCTTCTTCTTGAATTAGTTAGAGATTTTTCAGTGATACAACTATAAGCTGATAACTTGCTACACTGCGAATAGGATTATTATATACTTTGTCATTCATCTCCACAACTGTGTTATGTCACCATTCCATTTCTTATAGGTCATAAACTATTGATTGATTTCGATGTGGAAATGTATTCTACAACGATTGATTTGCTGGCTGATGATAAATCACTTTCAGAATATGAATTTTATGGAAGTATTATTCAACTTGAATTTCTGCTGACCAATTTCTTAGCACATTTATTTGGACAGAAAAGCTGTCGGTTGATATTATCTGCATATCAAACAATCGATGATAAACATTTCTGGTTAAAACAACATTCAACCAACAATAATTCGAATAAGTTATTAAAACGATTAGAATATCTACTGGCGATCAATTTAGATACATCTTTTCCGACAGAAAATAAAACTTCTGTATGTTTAAAACAAAATGTATTGTTAAAATAATTATGCTTGTTAATTTTACAAGTTGATATTGTAGAATTTTTCTATTTTACTGAGTTGTAGTTTGTAGATTCATGTAACGGGAAAACTGACAGTTCACTGGGATCGTTTGCGATTACACAATGTTCAAGTTGTTTGATATCTTATGCAGTCATGCGTTAACAATTTCTTTCATGTTAAGAAAGTAAATTATTTCATCTGACTTTATTGATATTTATTGTAATTAGTAGTTTGAGGACTGAAACTACTGGAAGTATGCAAACGTTCATAGTCCTGCCGTTAATTGATAACAAAACATGTCATATTTATCAACGTACATTATAATAATTTACACAAATATTAAAATTTGTGCCGAAGATGTCACTTATTAGTAGTACTGTAGTGAACAATACACGGGTGGGGACAATCGAATGTAAATAACACAGCATTACAGAGCATGTCAATAAAATCTGAGAACCATATATCGAATCGTTAATTTGCAAAATGTCTACCAGTTGTTTCAAAATGCCACAGACTTCATTGTCCTTGCATTTTTATACAAATTGCATTCTATTCCCACTCTTGCTTTCTTAAACTTCCCCCATCTTCTGCTGCCAGACATTACATTTCTGACTCGCGTCATATACTACTTATATCAATATAAGTAGCACGCACCACAGTATGTTTATATATAAATACATATAAATACATATAATTGTTTAATGACAAGAAAGTTTGACTAAAATGAATTAACTAGGAAAATATTCAATTATGACTGAACAAGGAAACTTTATCTACCTTTTCTCAGCATTGATTGATAAATTTACAAAGGAAAATATAATGATGGCATATATTCAAACAAGTAAACTCAATAAATAAAATCAGTATCTATGGACAAATTGTTGGGCAATATAAACAAATTTAACTCACAGATCCACATCAGAAAACTGATATCTTTAATTTGTAGCCGAATTTTATTGTTCATAGGATTTATTACTCAGGAAAGTGTTAAAAATGATGCTTTAATGGCTTAAGAAGAAAACGATACAAGTTTTTCTTTAAATAAGTGCATGTACAATATGCTTTAAAATCCAAGAAACTAACATATTCAAATGGTCATATTTCAATTACAAGATTGATGATCTGTGTAACATGAAGTCTTTGACACTTTACTAGTCATATTCATACTCTCAGATTTTGTAGTAAATGTTTTTTGTCATTCAATAATCATAACTATACGAGATGTTTTCATTCATTTACATTTTAGTTATGCATTAATCTACTAGAAGTTCTAACTATAATGATCAATGATCAATATCCACAAATAAGATATCATGCTAAGTTTTCAACATTTCAAAAAAGCATTTTTAAAGCACCAGGATTTAATGAACATTATGATTTAGATAGAACTCTTGATAAAACATATCGTTTACAACAATTACAACGTCAACAACAACAACAACAACAGCAACAAGAAACTCAAGCTTGGAGGCATATAAGAACATCAGTACAAATGCAAAGTAATAATAAACTAGAAAAAAATAATTCTCATAAAACGTACATTTTGAGTTACTCCATATGTAGTATTTTATTAATTTTTACTATGTCTACCAACTTTTTTTAAAAAGTAAATTCAATGAATGTTAAAGTATGAACTATGTAGTTTCATTCAACAATTCCATTTAGATTAGGTAAAGAAAAACAAATTAAAAGTTCACAGAGCATAATTAATAAAATAAGATTTACAAATCACCGTATCTATTCTTTTGTGATGTGTATATGTGTGTACATTTTATAGTTCTTCTTCATGTTAGCTATCATTTTTAATGTATACTATTGTTAATAGGTGTGCTTTTATGTCTTGTCTTAGCAGTAAGCTTACAGATCTTATTTTTTAATGAATATTAAGAAGTAAAAACATGTATTTTAATGCTACATTATGATGATTTATCATTCCATTGATTAAATTGTTCTGTTCACGCATTTTGAATACCAGTCCTATGCTTTGGTGATCTAATGTTTTAGAAAAAAAAAACTCTTTCATATTGATATGTTAGATTGAAAAACAAAAATAAATTTTTATAACAAACTATGCTTTAATATACATATCTTAATTGCAATTTATATTTCCTGTACAAAAACGACATGAATTTTTGTTTGTATTCAAGTTTCTTCATTGTGTCCTCGATTTGCCTATGATGTTTTTACACTGCATTTGTAAAACTATTTCATATATACGTTCAAAAGAAAGATAATGTAATTATACAAAGAAATGACATAATACTATATGATACAAATAAATAATTCATTAAAACACTTTGCTACTGTTTAATAACTTTTTTGATGATGTATAGACAATATTTTACTGGCAAGAATTGTTGTTTTGTTCTCCTGTTCTCTATTGTTTCCTTGCTTTGATTTTTTGTGAAATAAATGATTAGATTTTATTCACCAACCCTCCCCCCTTTTAAAGTTAATATTTCACAAAAGTGCAATCGTTTTGGCTTAAAAGAATGTAAAAGTAAATTTGTTTCATTACTGATTTAAGTCCTTTATCAATTACTTTCTTTATCAGTAGAATGGAGCAAAGTATAACTTGAAAAAAGTTTTTGACTAATATTTCTACCTCATGTTTTTGTTTTTTGAAATAGAAAAAAACACTTCATTTTACCGGTTTATTTATGTATTCGTTTATGTAAATTGTATGTGTTTGTTATTGTTCTGTGATATGTCCTAAAGCACCATACCAAAAATATATCTAAGATTATGTGTGGTTATTCTAATTTTGCATTTCACCCTAATCTTAACAGGTAAAAAGTACATCGCCTTAAGATTAATTGAATTGGTGCTTCATTGAAATACATAATTCTAATGTTTTACCCTGGTATTCATCATCTACTGGTCATTATCAAATGCGTTTCTTGATAACATATGAAGTAATTATAACTTGCTTTAGTCTGTTCATATAAGTAATGTAAATTGGCTGTCGGTAGTTCAGCTTCTTTTTGCACTCAGAAATGTCGACTATTTGTTTAGGCAAATAAATTATCAAAGTTGTCGAACAAACATCCACTCAACATATTGAAAACAAAAAAACTTAATTGTCCTGAGAAATGATGTCTTGAATTCAAATGATACTTCAAAAGATCCGTTCACTGTTTAAACTTAGTTAACAAATATTCTTTCATAAATGTGACATCTAAGCAAACATAAAACCATTCTAAACAGTTAAATTATCAGTCAATTTGCTACACTTTAGATTCGTAATATTTATGAGTAAAAAAATAAAATTCATTCAACTGGGAAGACAGATGTAATTATTTCAAGAGACAAAGTTAACTGTCAGTAGTTAATACTTTAATATAGAAGAGCTGTATTTAAATGAACGATTCATATAATAATCACATTCTTTTTTAATGTTAATCTCACTGAAAACCTAATGTTTATTTTTGATGTATTCATCCCCATAAATTATGACTTATTCCCAGAACTTAATGAAATGTAGAATCCATGATGTACGTTGTACAGTGATTTATTAAGTTCCATGATATCAGTTTGCATTTTTTAAATAATTACACAGGCGTATATATATTTAATACATTCAATATACTAGAATTAGTGAACAGTACATATTAGTTGCACATTCTGATCCTTTACTAGATCCTTTATTTATTATTTGCCATCAAAAATGTTTCAAAGCAAAATGAAGTTATAGTGGTTTAGCTTTGTGAATCAATTACCTTGATAACCGTTAACATATAAATCCCCATTGGTGTTCGAGTTGCGAAGGCGATAAGAAGCGGCAACTACCGTTTATTAGGGGATAGCAAAAATAACAAATCTACAAGTACATTAAGCGAATTTGGAGGAGAGAGGTTAATATGTGTTTGCGAGTGAATACATAGGTAAATTTATAGTCAAATCAAATTAAGGCGGACCTAGGCACGGCAAAGGCTATTAATAGGATTCAAGCACATATATACATGGTAAAGAGAATGACTTATCGGGCTAAATTTAAGCGGTCCACATTTAAACTAGAGAGATGCATGTGCGCGGGCTGACACAGGTGATCAAGTATACATGTTTAATCTAGCATGGCAGTGAGCCTAATAATACAAAATAATAGACGAATAGTTACTGTCCGAAATAAGTTAATAAAAGGGTTTGACAGACAACAAATCATAGGTGTATTCCTATAATAGTCATTATCAGCAATAGTAATTCTATTAAATTAACCTTGAATATTGAATTAAAGATCATAGACCTGTTGTGACTATATTGGCGATATCTGCTAAGGATACATATGTACCGAAAAATACTAATCAGACGTTAACATCAACAACATTAAAATAAATGCACTTGCAAACTAAACCCATTCCATTTGATCCAACTAGTGTATATCAGGACTCAGTAGCTAGGTGGATAATATATCGAGTTTTTGAAGCGAAAAGTACTAAATTCGAGTTCTTGTGTAAAAATCAATACCAGGATATTGGCTCATTCATCTAATGAGTTGTAAAATAAAACAATTCTATTACTAGATTCCATTGATAATAATTTCTCACTTTTACTAAAACTTGTCGATTTATTCACTTACACGTCTTGTCTATTTTCATATTTCTAGATCAATGTTTCCTTACTTTGAAAATGTGTTGCAGTTCAAATAACCATCATCTTATAAAATGGTCCAGCATACCTATACTACTTATGACATGAATTCCGAGATTAGAATGAAACATAAAAAGTCACATTTTATCAACAATTTTAAACAAATAAATAGATATTGATAGCACGTACTTTTACTGTACGCACAGTTCTGACTTGTGCACAAACTGCATCTATAGAATGATTACAGTCGGTCAGATGTTTAGGTATAGAATTTCAGTTGCTTTCCTCTCACTCTTATAGGATCAAATTTGGTTGTGTTCCCGTAACCTAGTTGAAAGCGAACGATGGCTTCAATTAATGTACCTTGCTTTACATGAGCGCACTCTTTTAACTCGGATTCGAAAATACATCCCAGTTTGGTTCAACAAAGATGATAGAAAAGCAATTAGAAGTTCTAAGGTTGAACATCTAATCGACTGTAATCATTCTACGGATGCAAAGTTTGATTTTAAGGTTGTGTTATGCCCCGATAAGAATAATGAGTGGTAATTTTTTGGATCCATTTGTGGACCAATACTATACATATATTTTACCGTATAATTGTTAATTAACTAAACTATTCTTATCGATTAAATGTCAAATATTTCTATGGCAGTCGATTGACTAACTCATCGATTAAATGTTTAAAAATACTTCCATGGCAATATCGATTATATACATATAATTGAAATACATATGTTTGAATTGTGGTTGTGTGCTCGCTAGTTTATGGCTGTCTGCACAATATACTTTCCCATTCCAAGCTTGGACTTCTCCCTCTAGTTAGCGGGGCTGGGATGCATCAAATAGCTAGCTTACTGATCTTTGATCATTGAGTCTTTGTTCTCGTTCGAAGATTAAGTGAACTCGTGGTAACTTCAAGCTTAGCAGGTTGTATATACGATTCGATCAAATCTACCTAGATCCAACTGCTAAAACATAATGAAAGCTCTTACCATCCATTAGCTCGAGCCAGAACTATGCGCACAAAAGAAGCGTGTCCTATCGTTATCATTACCTTGGCCTTAATTATTATTATTATTATTGTTATCACTAAATAAATTGATTTCATGTTTTGTTTTAATGAATTAATAAAATATCCATGTTGTTTTCTTATTCTTCATAATAATATTATTAAGCCATATGTTAGAAAAACAAAAGCGCACACATTGAAACATGAAAAGAAAGAAGAAAGAAATCTCATCAAAACTAATGAGGTATAAAAATCCCATTAAAAAAAACAATTATCATTTATTTAGTCATACAAACTTATTCATTCCAGATGTTTCATTAAATTCCTTATTTGTTCTCAAGATATTTAATGATGTGATTCATAAGTTTCCTTGACAAAAAGAAAAACAAAACAAGATACATGTTACACTTATAATGACTTATGAATCACGGAAGTTCAGACAAGAGATAGTTTAGGTCAAGTGATAAAAATTATGAAAACTAAAAATAAAAAGAATTTTTTTCTTCAGAAATTAACAAGTTTTTAATTAGGAAACAATTTTTTAATTAAAGAATGTCTTTTGTATATTTTGTCTTATTTATTCATAGTATTACATAATGATAAGTTATTTCTTCCAGTTAAGAGATATATTACTGTATAATCAGCTTTTCTTTTCCTTCTTTTTTCAAACAATAAGGAATTACATGGGTTGAAATCATGAGTCAGTTGAAGCTAGACCACACTGAAAAACCTGGAAGCACTGGACGGCCGTTTCGTCCTAGTATAGGTCCTGGGTTCGAATCTCGCGGGGTGCGGGATCGTAGATGCGCACTGCTGAGGAGTCCCATACTAAGACGAAACGGCCTTCCAGTGCCTCCAGGTTTTCCATGGTGGTCTTGCTTCAATTTACTCATAATTTCAACCAGTAAAATTTCTAAAATTTCCGCAAAACCCCTTCTGATAATAGAGAATTAGTAATTTTCTTGGCAATATATTATCATAGTGTAGTATGGGCTACTTATATCTACATAAGTAGTAGATAAAGATAGTTAGGTATAGAATGTCTGGTATCAGAAGATCAAGAATGTAATAACCGTAACGGAACAATGAAATCTGAGACGATTTCCTGGTGTTTTCAAAAGGAACAATCATGTTTCAGACAATTGATTGAGATTTTGCAGATTAAAATTTTTACTGTATGGTTCTTAGAGTTTAGTAAGATGATCTGTAATTTTGTGTTCAAATTTATTCGATTTTCCCAACTTGTGTTCTCATTCACTACAGTAGGAATATTTCAAAAGTGATACACACAACTTGAATATCATGAGCTATTGCTAGCCCATATGGAATAGGTTGGTATTTCCGAAAGAAGACTTGATGAAAAATTGAAGAATTGAAGTTTGTTATAAAAAAGTTTCTAGAAATTAATTTTAAGAACATACATCACACTACTGAGAGATGTAGTTGATTGATAGTATTACTGGTCTATTCGGTATGATTTCAGTCACAATGTTTTATTGGATAATTAGTTTTTCATTAGTATATTAGTTAGCCATCAAATAAAGCTTTAACTAGCAAACACTGCATGGTTATTTTTTGGAAGTTTTATTAATTCTAATATCTATATATCAGTACAATAAGATCATATTACTAAAATGGTTTAAAAGTTCAGCTTAATAACTACAGTTCTTTTAGTCTGGGATAACTCTTCAATAAATCATATTCTAATAAATATTTGATTTGCCATTGTGATTATTATTGACTAATAAGAAAGATTAGTTCAGCGAAATGTTCTCTTTATGGTGAATTCATATTCAAAGCTGTACAATCGCAATTATATGTACCTATTTTTCAGGATGATAACAGTTACAATAATACTTATGATAAACTTCTGTTAGACATGGTGACAGTGAGATAGAATAAACAAATGCATTTTTTAAAAATTCCAAACAAGGAAAACTTAATCGTATGATTGTTAATGGCTTAAGTATTCATCAAAAGATAGATAGAGGAATCATCATTGGGAAAGGATGGTTCAGCATGATAAGATAAAATGTTGAAATTGAGATTAAATGTAACCGGAAGGATCGTAGAAACAGAAATAGAAGATTTAACGGAAAGATGGGGGGGAAGCAGGTGGCTATAAAGAAAGAAGAGTATGAAGAAAAAAATTAAAATTATAAGACATTCAGAAGAAGAGGTTGTACCAATCTCTTTTGAACACACAATTCTGTTTGTCCTAGATGCATAGCTATAGCAAAGAAGATGCAATACAGTTGCCGTTGGGAGACTCACTTACT